ATACCGCAGAAATGCGTTGATTGCTTAATAATGGATAGTAAAAGACTTGTTTCCTACGCATCCTGATTTTGGGGCGTCTAGTTAATCTCGGCTAGCACAAAAACGTTCTCGTTAAGTAGACATCGAGACGGCCACAGAATAAATAAGAAAGTTGAAATGAAGTAAATTTGTACGTCTAAAATTTTTCGACTTAGATTCATGAAAAAGAATAAAATGAAACTTTGCGTGAGAAGTAGCTGATTGCGAACACACCTCTTAGCGGATTTTCGTGAAACTTTTTTCAAGTGATAGTGTAATTTCGTTTGCTTGTTGTTTTGCGTGCTGGTGAAATTGTTTCTTCAACTAATTTTATTATTAAGAACAGGAAAATCCTTTGAGCTGGTCTGCTTAATATATTTTAGCATACCTCCAACTTAGTCGCGCCAAAAAAGTATCCTGAAACAGCAACAATATAAGATACTATTGGCTATGGAATGATTGTCAGTCTTGATGGTAGTTAAGTTGATGTCTGAGTTTATACATTATTAATTAAACATTATATAATTTTACTGTTAATTTACAATAAGATATATTAATTTGAAAAATGACGGTCATAAATGGGACAATATAAAAATAACAAAAAAATAAATGTAAATATAAATGTGGATTATTATGGGATAGTGGGGAGGGCGGCTCCATCTTCATTAATATATAATTAAATATACTGATGAGACAAACCAAAACTCTAAAAGGGTACCTTGAAGTTATGAAGGAAAGACACCTAAACTACATAACCGAAACTAAATTTTTCAAAGCGAGTATTTTGAAAACAACTCAACGTATGTTTCCATAATTTCCAACCATGATCACAAGTCATTTGTTACAACAAGAACACTTGATACGCTAAGTCAAATTCATCTCTAAACATAACACCAATAATAGTAGGGTACAAATATAATGTTTACATAGCTACGTGCCATTTATACTTACTACTTATTGAATAAATGATGGTGTATTATTAAATACCTAATAGGTTACATTATTAAAGGCTAACCTTTCGTGACTGTTGAGCAATTTACGTTGCGAGTTATTTCATTTGCCATATTATTTACCGACGTTTGAACTTTAATAATGTCCACAACAGGATAATAGAAAAAGCTAAACGCGTTCTTTAAAGGTTAAATGGACTTGTTGTATTGTGTAAACAAATATATTAAAATATAACATGAATAAACGAATTTGACAATGAACACGTCGGCACATTTCATAGCCCGTTTCATAAGAGCCTGGTCTGTCTGTTTAGGGATTTTTACAAAAACCAAGTAAAAACGCTACGGAAAATATACTTAACTAAAAATTGACAAAATCATAAGGGTAAAAAGAGAAAATTATTTTATGGAAGTTGTTAGCTGCAACACTGTTTTGTTTGAAAAACCACCGGAAAATAAAATAAAGGAAAAGCGCGAAAATCACCCTTACTTTGAAGATTCAACATTGGCTCGTCAATGGCTTTACATTATACAGATTCTGAATGTCAGGAGGATTGCACAAGATCGTTTCTGGGTAGCTAAGTGGAATTGAAATCTGTTGATATGTTGGTCAAAGCCCAGTACGTGTCAAATGCTTGATATAAAGGTCATAAAGTCCATATAAAGAAGAATTCTGTGTTTTTGTCTGAAAATCACGAATTTTCTTTGAGAGTCGTCCGAAATTAGTACGTTTTAATTAAAACGAGTTGTACGCGAGAATCTCGTCGATATGCCGTGAAATACCGAGAGCAAAGTATTAATTACGATTTTATATCTGTTTGCAATTAAAAAATTCAAATGTAGGTATTTTTAATTTTCATAGAGGGATTTCAACTATTTTGAACATTCTTCCTGGCAATTGTTTTGCAGAAACCTCCCAAGAACATTGCTAATATGCTTTCTGAAGAGACTTCTAAGGTGATTTACACAAACAAATTTTCTACCAAAATTCCTAAGATGTTTTTTAGAAACACCTCTAGCAAAATTTTCTTACTTGAAACATTTTCAAGTAAATTTCATGAGAGTTAAGATCTCTAACAAGGTTTTATGAAACCTTTTCTAGAAGGTATGCAGATAAATTTTCAGCTCACAGTTACTTTTCAGTGTTTCAAATACCCAAAGAAATTTATGAAAAGATTTATTATCTTCTTAGTTCTTAGGAATAGTCTTCAGTTTATTCAAATCCTTCACACTGCATAAAATTCGCAGCAATTCTTTCAGTTCTTGAAAAGTTTTCACCTCTCAGTTCGATTTGTAGACTTTAATTTTTCAGATCCATAAAAATCCGGAGAGATTTTATTTTTTCACTTTTGTGATTTCATCAGATTCTGAGTTCTTTAGATTCTTCCGTTTTATCAATTTATCAATAAAGATGAATTTATTCCATAGTATAGTAGATCGCTCTCTATATTAGAAAAACGTTGCGGTTGTATTAACGATTGGGAGAAGTCCATATCTATTAGAAAAGATTTGCAGCATTTGCATTACTTTTAACTAACTGATAATGATAATAATAATGGATCAATATACAGAACCTTATTAGATAATACTAAGCCGTTTGAGATTTTTTACGGACGGTTAACCTCTCTAAAACCCAGAACTTCAACGAACCTTTAATATATCGCAGTACCTTTTGTGATCCGAGAATCACAATAGATTGAGGCGTTTCAAACATCACTCTAGACAATTTTCAGTTTCATATGACTTGAAGTTAGATGAAAATTTTGGGATAATGCTCTTTTTCCTTCTTTTTTTGGTGCTAACAATTACATTTTTAAACATTAAAGTCTTACATTTTCCACTAATAAATTTGACGTCTTTGTTCCCCGGAATTCCGCACCGTCGCCCGAACTGATCGGCACCTGCGTTGCTTATCTCGCACGTGGCATTGTTTATCGCAAAATCGATTTCTATTCGATAATACCTTTTTACTAACATCGGACCAGATAAAACGTTTAATATTATTATTAAATGTTCTCTTTGCGTATAGTTAGAATCAAATTAAACAATGTCCGACTAAATTTACAATAAGTAACTAACATTAGAATTGAAAATTCAACAAATTTCTTCCATTCTGCGCTCATTCGAAATTAAGAAAATCGCGTCTTATGAAACAACTTAAATTGCGCGGGACGTCCCGACCACAATTTCCGAGATTCCGACTGAAATTACGTTAACAAACACGTATTTTTATATTACAAGGTGGCTCGCTCCCATCTTCAGTATTGTTTCAACCTTCAGAAATGACACCTCGTGTAGTTTACACAGTAATCTGTGTGACCCATATGCAACAGCGTTATAAGCCGACCAACCTTTTATTCCCACGGAATCGCTTGTATTCCACATGATTGTGAGAGATGGTACTGATGTTTAATAAACTTAGAGAAACGGTTGGGGACTAAATATATTTCACATTATATTGCACATGTAAATGGGGTTTTTTACGGCCATACGTAAATGGTACACACCTACTATTGATCCTACTCTCGGTACTATGACCATATCACTTTCCAGTCCCGTTCAACTGTTAATAGTAAATAGTGATAACCTTTTTTAGGTGGGGTTTAATTTACTGATTCGCAAAGTGCTGCCGCAAACAAAATTATTCAACCCATGAAAAGATACCACTGCTATTGCTATTTATAAGACAAATAGTGTAAGCCAAATAGATATGAAATATTATGCATCGCTATGCATCAGGAAATGGGACTCATAAGATGACGTTATAACGTTTTCTTACAAATTATGCACTCGCAAAATTCCAACAAGAAAAAGAAGGAACAAAAACGGAATGAAGATTTTAAAATTAAAAGCGGGCCTCCGTTCCCCGTTGGCAGACAATAATGTGCGCTTCTATTCTCTATAACAGCTGATAACGTAACCGTCTATAAAGAGGTTCTATAAGCATTAATATCCAAAGCCGCAGTCAGCCAAATTTATAATTTTAATAGGGAAACGCGATAGGACAATGGTAAACTTAGATAGCTGACAGTGCAAGTCCGAAAGAACCCTTCGAATCGAGAATGCTGATTGGTCGATAGAGGGTGATAGCGCAAGACAAAAGCCACCTCTTATTGTTTATCGTGAAGTGTTTTATGCTGTATGAAAATCTGATATAGAAAATTATGCGGCATTGCGGATTGTTGTTAAACATTAAGATGAAGAATTTAAATTATTTTTATCTTTTATTAAAAAGAATACATATAGAAATGTACTGCGATTGGCTCCGGGGCAAACTTACAATCATATGCCGAGATAAGACCTTCATAAGTCCCGCAGAGATTCTACATTTACATTGTACGAGAAATAATAGCACTTGGATGCTTGAATAATACCCGAACATTATGAATCATCAACGTCCCATTTTCATTTCCCTGCAGCTCACATAATTATTTCGCAATTATATAAATTCTCCCCTAGACGTTTTGTACTCACGGAGAGCGAATTATTTGCCGAATACATTTACGGAAATTTTACTTTAGGCTCCCTTTTATTGACACTTTATTATGGTTTCGTGAATAGAAAAAGTCAGGCGATGGAAATTGTGTAGGTGTGCTCATATAGTATGAAATAATTTGCGAAAGTGGCGGTTCCACAGATTTTCCGTTTGCCAACCACCAAACGTTTAATTGAAAATGCAAAGTGTGTTTGCGATAGTTTAAAATTTCACACCGCACTATCAAGTTGGAAAAATAAAAAAGCAATCAAATACGATGATCCTAACCTTTAAAAGCCTAAAGTGCATGAGATATTCATGTAGACACCATTGAATTGTAAAAGATTAGGGTGAATCGCCTACCCTGTTACATATGTATTTTCGCTTGAATTGTATGTTTACATGAGTACTCTCATTCACACACTTCAATGAATTTAAAGATGTTTTCTTATAGTCACTTTCAATAAATTTGTATGAGTACCCGAGTTATAAATTTTCTTCAATGGGCTTTAATTTAATATCGCGTCTTCTGTGCGCAATATTAACATTGATAGAAACTATTGGATATACCGTTCGGATGTGTAAAGTGCCGAAGGTTTTGCATTATGCAACACAAGAGGTGGAAAGACCAAATTTTCCGTTCTTTCTGTTTCTGAAATTAAAAAGACCCTTACCTGTCATAGCTCGAAGGGGACCGATTTAATCTAAATTCAAAATTAAACGGTGCCTCCGTTTTACTGTAAAAAAGGCCGGTGCACTTTTAACACTACTAAGCATTGCTATTCTAATTATTCTGTTCCGACGACTACTGAAAGTAACGTCAAAATAATTTCCCATTCGTTAATCTATGTAGATTACAGTCCACTAATTAATGTTTATTTTAAAAAAATCCTTCCACTTAGAAATCTCCCTTAAATTAATAGTGCTAGTTACCTGTAACTAATTTCCATGATGCAATTAGTAATTAAATTAATTATATCGAAGTTTAAACATAATATCCGTAATGAAAGTAATAGAGTGTGCCCTTCTGAAAAAAACAGAAGTTAAATGACGAAAAAGCAAAGATCCCTAAATCAACCCTTCAAACCCTGTGCGCTTTAGTCAATTTGAGATGAAAGACCCCGGAGGAGATAAATAAGTGACACTTGCCAAGAACCATATTATGAAATCTGTCCAATGTTTGTTTTCATTTATTACAAACTAGAACTACCTTAGTGGAGACAACATTAATCTTTGGCTATGATAAATAGGTAAATATTAAATAAATAAATAATACAAACATCTATTTTTTAAAACAAAACCAATATAAAAACAGACACCGCTGACATTCGTGGAAACCTTAATAAGTGAGGATATACCTATACTAGTTGTTTAGAGGTGTCCATATTATATTAAGTTTTTTGGATCAGGATACTATAACGTAAATTTAATTACTTACGTCGTTTATTTATTTTCAATTAATTAACAATAAATGCACAGCAATGGATTTGTTGAGTTGTGGTTCGCCATAAAGATTAAATGGAGATATTGATCAAAATCACGCTGATGATCGGACACAACTTTTGACAAGTACTTCCTTAGATGAAAAAATATTTTATATACGGGCCAAGTTATCCATCTCCTAATAAATGTATTACGCCAAATAAATTTCAAAGTGACGAGAGCACTCACAATGGTACCTAAGTTTTTAGTAGAAAGTCGATATATATTGACCGTAAATGAAGGGATTCATTGGATTGGATGGGAGAAGTTGCAATTATAAATCCGGTCTAGGACGTTTTGGCGCGGCCTTTTTGGCGCAGCCGTTTTGGCGTGGCCGTTATGGCGCAGGCCGTTTTGGCGCGAGCCGTTTTGACGCGAATCCGTTTTGGCGCGGGCCGTTTTGGCGCGATCCGTTTTGGCGCGATAAAAATAACATTTAACACAAAAAGATGTACAAAGTAAACACCAGGAATTAAAAACTAAAACCTTTAATTGTACATACGGAGAATGTATATGATTACAAATATATACAAACAAAACAATTTTATGGATTCATTTCATAATTGTATGATATACCTACCTCTTAAATACTCTATAATATTTCTGTTTTCAAAATCTAAAACTAATCGCGTTATTCGAGTATCGGCATCCCTGTACTTCTTGAGTTTCTTTGGTGGCTGTCTCCCTGCCAACAGTTGTTCGTACTCGCCGTCCCTTCCCTTTTGAATTCTTTTTAGGGTGTTAACAAATTTCCATATAGTGGGATGATCCATCCCCAGCTCAATTTGCAGTATCCGATGAGCGGCCTCGGCATGATTGTTTGTGCGGTCTTGATTGTTCTGCACTCTGTCGAACACAGACCACATATTTGGAGGGAACATTGCTAGCCTTCTACCATTTCCTTTTCGGTTCGGACGCCCGATGTAATTGTCTTCTAACCATTGCAGAAGAGGTTGAAGTTCTACTGGCAAAGCTTCACCCAACGCGTCAACAGCTTCGTCCAAATCGTTTATGGGAACAAACGCCAATGAACTAACCATTCTAGCCATCACCGCAAATTCGGCATCGGTGTTGTAGCGATGTAACAGTCCCAAAATCGATAGATGTTTTTTCAAGTTTTTCGTCAAATGAAAAAAACAGCCATGCATTGTAACGCCTGGAAACGCATTTTTAAATGCATTTATTGCTGACAGCTCGTAGTCACAGGATATACTTATACGTAGGGTTGAATGCCAATTGCGGATTAATATTTTGTATCAGATCTATCATCGTCGCATACGTTATTTGAAGTTTATTGGGTAGAAGGGCATAGAGCAAAGCGATCACACCACCAAACCTTTCGGCCAATATCACGTAAACCTGATGAAATAAAGGTGGTGTTGACTTGAAAGTGCCATCTACGTACCATTTATCTGACTCACTAAGGATCTGGAACAATTATTAAATATAACAAAAAAAGTTTGAGTAAATCGAGTACGAAACAATAGAGTCTGAATACTTACACGTAATGAACGTTCTCTCCCAAATATGACAATGCGATTTTGAATTGGTCCTGTATCTGCTAGTAGAAATAATTCTTGTTCGCCATTAGGCAATCCATAAGATCTATATTCATCGGGAAAAACGAGTTCTTGTACTGTTGCGGGATTTGGAGGAGCAATATTCATTTCATTTCGTTTGCGCCTAATAACTTTCTTTAGTGCATTTCGATTGGGAACGACAGCTGTAGAAATTCATATATATGTATATATTTAGTTGTAAAGGGCAGTATTAACGTTGTTTATAACAGAACAAAGGTAATCACTATATGGGCAAATTAAGTTAAGAAAGGAATGCAGTTGAAGATAAAAAGTATTATTAATTATGATACCTTGTGCCGCTGGAGTAAGTTGAGACGAACATATGTTTATGATTTGGCTGGGTTGTTCCATCGTATTAACAGCTCTTGCTTTTACAGCACATACGGCGATATCAGATTCCACTTTTGCTGCATCACTATCGTGGCTGTGGCCGCGGATTTCTTTAATAATTTCATTGTTTTGAACATGAATTCTTCCTTTGCACACGTTCTTCCTTTCGCATCTCCAGAATTCGATAGACACATCTGTTTCGCTTAATCTATCAAACACGTATAAATAACCATTACTTGCGAATTTTGGTTTCTCTCGTTTACTCTGTAGATTTATAGCCATAGTTTGTAAGCACGAATCACGATGTACTTTTGCTAAAGCCAGATGAGGTTTGTCATCTCAAGATAACATTTCAATATTTTAAGGAATTTTTTACTCCCTCCCCAAAAATGTATTCGTAAATTTAGAACTGACCACTTAAAAACGACTAAATAACTCTATTGTAACATATTCCCTTTCATTGTGGATACCTGAAAATTTACATGAAACTAATCCTTTTTAAAGATGGTTGGGGCTGTAAATATTAGTCAATGGTTGGGATAAGAAAGGTGAATGCTTAAAGGTTCGCAATCCGCGTGAACACAAGATCGTCTGTTAATGTTAATCCTCTCGTTTCAAGTGCAAACTCACAAAAATAATTCTTAGAAATAACTAAGGGACCTCGTAAATAAGTCTAGTACAAAGTAAACAATCGGCATATTGGTATACAAAAAGAGCTGGTTGCGCAAAAAGTTACCCATCTCAGGTAAAATATGAATTTGCAGGCCCATTACACAGTCCTATGGAAACTGTAATAAATTGTTATCAGGACTCAAAAATGTTCCCCACCTCAGACTAGTTTGCCGGGATGGTCGTAGCCGGGGTGGAAATCGCCGGAATGACCATGTCCGCAGGGATTAATTGAATGTCGTTACGTTAGAATTTATTAATTGTATTATATTTACGCCACATCCTTTCCGAACTCCCTCTGAATGATCCACTCACAATTGACAGACAATTGTCTTAAATATGATTGGAATGGTCTCGCGCCAAAACGGTCCGCGTCAAAACGGGTTCGCGTCAAAATGGCTCGCGCCAAAACGGCCCGCGCCATAACGGCCACGCCAAAACGGCCGCGCCAAAACATGCCATCCCGTTATAAATCAGCTGCTTTGATGATAAGGTTAACAGAAATGAGTGGGTGGTGAAATTGTGAGGACAATTATTTCTCTTTAAAACTTTAATGGCAGTAGTTTTCTGTTGTGACTGTCATTTATGATTTATGGAACCAGTGTCGCCGTTAATTGTGTGCAATTTATTTCCCTTTTATAAACTTTTTCATTTTGAATAAATTTGATACACTGATAAACGCGCTTAGTATCAAGTTATTTATAACATAAACAATTTAATGAAAAAAAAATAGTTTGACGAGCGCAAGTGTTATATTCACGTTATCGCAATATATTATATTATATTATTATTATTAAAGGCCCAGGACAAAATAATAGAGGAGAGATATTGCATTTAGAGGGAAAACAGAGTGTAAATTCTGTAAATTTGCAATTCACGAAATGTTGCAATTAAAAATCTAAAAGACATTATTAATTTGTGAACTAAGAAAAGATAATACAAAGACAAACGATTTAGAACTCAAAAATATTAACGACTCGAATTCAAGAAGAATTAGAAATATTATAAAGATGAAAAACATTACTGAAGATTTATTAAAAGAAAGAATTATGAAAAAATCCTGTAAGAGACATTTAGATTAGGAAGATTTAAGGGTTCGATGAGAGGAATCCATTTGAACTGGGAATTAAAAGAGATAAAATGATTCTTGTAGAATTTACAAAGATTGAAAGGGTGCAAAGAGAATTGCTTTAAAATAAAATTTGGAAGGTTAGCTATGTCTCCCTTCTTGAAGTAAAAATTTCAAATGTTTTAAATAAATCCAAAAATTAGGTAGGAAAAATTAATTAAATGATCGACGGTGAAGCGCTCTTACTGACAGTTCCTTCTTAATTAATGACTACCTACTACAACCCACATTGTTATTGAGATTAATGTAATAATACCAATTATTTAATAGCGCACCTTCCAGATCTTAAATTCGGTTGTGCATAATACAACAAACATTTTCGTGTTCTTGGTTTCTTATCAGTTTTGCTGACCCAGGTTGGTAATAGCGGGGCTCTGCTCTATGGCTACGTTGGTGTCGAAGCGTGCGACGCTTCTGGTATTAGTCGTCATTACACACGAATTATTTCGTTGCAGATTATTAAATCACTATAGTTAATATAAGCTCACTATTATACTATGGCCTTTGCAGTCTTTGGCTTACAAAATAATCTCTCATTCCATGTATGTCTATATCACAAAATTAATAAAAAACAAAATCAACTAACTATTTTCTTCCATCAGGTCCTGTCTGCTGCTATTTCTATCCAGTCCTCAATACCTTGCATTCTCAGACCTTCTTTCACTGCTAACAAGCAATTTCCTTCTTGGTCTACCCCTTCTCTTCTTTCTTCCCTCTCCCAACACTCTGTTGGCATGTCTGGTCTCTGCCATTCTTGCTACGCGTCTCAGCCGTCTTGCACGTTGTGCTCTTACTATTTGGAATATGCCGGGTTGCCCGCACTTTTCTATTAATTCCGTATTTGTTTTTCCTACTCTCCTTCATTGTTTCTTACTCCTCCATATATCGTTCTCAGTACTTTCCTTTCCCATATATGTCCAGTTTCGCCTGCTTCTTTTTATCGATTATCAACGTTTCCTTTCCATACAGCACTACCGGGCGGATGACTGTTTTTAACACTCTTATCTTGGCCTCTCTTGATATTAATTCCTACCTCATCTTCCTTAGTGCTTAAATATTTAAACCGCCTCACCTTTTCACAGCAGACTTGCTTGGAGTCTATAAACAGCAGTCCTAAGTTTTGCTCATAACTATTACTCATTATTTGCTTGACAGTGAAGAACTGGTCCACAGTTGCTCTACCTTCCCTGAATCCTCCCTGGTGTCCTAAGATTTCCTTGCTTGTATAGGGTCTTATTCTGTCCCTTATTAGCTTTGCAAACACTTTTTGGGCTACATCCAGCAGTGCTATTCCTCTCTAATTTTCACACCTGCTCCTGCCTCTCTTCTTGTATATTGGGCACCGCAGCGCACTCTTCCACTGCTATGACATTACCTCTTCTTTCCACATTCTTATTATTAGCTTGCAGATTCATTCAGCAGCCGTCCTCCCTCTTCTTTTATCTCCGCTTGGATGCCGTTTTCCCCTGCACTTTTATTATTTTCCAAGTTGTTTATTATTTCGGTGATCTCGTGAATTGATGGATTCTACTACTCCGTTCCCCGTTTGTAATTCACCCTCTTCCAGCCCTCCATCTTTGGTATCGTTTCTACTCCCTAACAGTTCTTCGAAACGCCCATCTTCTTACTTCCCTTCGTTACTCCAATCAAGTTACATTCCTTATCTGTACTGTAAATCAGCTCATTTCTATTTACTCGTCCACTTCTCTTAACCTCCTGGTAGAAGGTTCTTATCTGTCTGCGAGCGTAGTTCTCTTCAAGAGCTTATAGCTTCCTTTCCATTCCTTCTCTTTTCTTTCTCCTACACGTGTTTTGCTAACCTCGCTTTCTTGATTGTAAGCCTAATTCATTATACAGTTTCTGTTGATGCGAAGCGTGTTTTTGCGAATGAATGCCTTCCATTTTCTTGACAAGATTGTTTCGCCTCAAACATCACTTGGTAATGTGTATTCTATTCTGTGCCCTATTCCTTAAGTGGCCAGAAGAGGATTACTGAATGGTCGATAACGGGAGCTCATTTACGAATAATTACTTAGCCAAACCAACCCCAAGTTCGAAAATCTGGTTCCGTAAACAACGTACGAGCAAATCATGAATAAATCCTCAAACAATTTATGTACCACTTCAGAAATCATAGTACCTCAGTATATTAAAACTGCTAGACATTAGAAAATTTCGGGTACATGCTCAAATTGCAACTTTTTACGCACAAAGAAGAGTGATAAAAAAAATAAAATTAAAAAAAAGCGAAACGAACATGTCAATACTTTTAAAACGTGAGGAATGAATAAATTGACGGTTTCCATCATCAGTTTGTCCGAATATTTTAGTCAACGGTCAAACCTAATGCATGCACTGTATATTCCTCTGGAATCGGATTTTTCAAAAACGGCAACAGTACATTAATTGTTTGGATATTTGTTCAAATCGTTCCTGTTTGAGTCGCCCATTTTAAGCGTGCCTGTAAAAGTAAAACACAAACTATTAGGAGGTGTAAATGTAAAATTCCAGATACATCCATTCGGCAGAAAACGTAGGATTTCCGTTTAGCTCCAGTTTAAGCCATATTTATGAGAGTACTTGGTTCAACCTTTTACAGTTTGAATTAGTACATGAAATGTAACACCGTTTGAAGGAAATGCTGTTAAGAAAGACAATTTCACTGAAATGCATCTTGTCACATGAAAATTGTGATTTTTGATTGATCGGCGTGTACGAAGATATTAAACGAGTGGTTGTTGTTAACTTATAAAACATCTTTTATAAGAACTTTATCGTAAACATTACTTATTCATGCGTATTCAGAACAATATCACGTAGATTCTGTTTATACCCCTAAATTTTGAGGCTTTTCGC